ACTTTTATCGACCGCTAAACCGGGTAACACTAACATGTTGGCCTAAGTTAGTCCTGCTCACGGTAGCCATACCGGCAGCTGCTATTGAAAACCGAGTGATCCCGTTTGTTTCGCTCTCAGTCGTAACGGGACCGGCAGACAGCCCGCAGAGTGGACCTAGAAGGCAGGGAGATCGTCATCGTTGTCGGCGTGCTCGTCTCCAGTCTGTAGCTGATCGCTCGCTTGCTGCTGCTGCTGGTAGTGCCCGTGGAATCGGTAGCACTACGTCTATACTACAGGGTGCTGTAGATCGGGGCACCAACAGAGTGAGCTCGTGAGCACTCTTGCTGCAGAATGGAGCACCATCATCATCGCAACGTCTACCACAGCCACTGTGATCGTCTCTAGAGCTTCGTAGCAATCCAATCAACGAGAGAGAAGCGACGATTCAGCTAGTGGACATGGCGACGCTGCCACGTGCCCTTAACGCTGAATCTGGTGAACGAGTGCTTCAGCGACCGCAGCCGCGGCGAGACGAACTATCAACCAATCGCTATCACAAACCGGTAACGACGCGGTTAAGGGATACGTCTGGTCCAGTACCTTTGTTACTTCTGTTGCTGTCGCTGCTGTATGCTCCGATTAGATCACTGGCCCATTATTACGACCACTGCTAGTCTTAGCAGTCTGTCCATGTAGTAGTATTTACATGTGCGGGTGTGTGCGTGTATACACGCGGAAGTCGAGCGTTGCGCGACACGGAACAGCAGATTCCGTCGGACGCTACATCCAAACATCCTTGTCTTGCTAGCAAATATCCGTAGCATACTAGCAATTAATGACCCGCAGACCAGCAAGTAGAACTCTTCTTCAAGAAGAGCACTTCTTACCGAACGTTGGTAGTCGGCCATCGTCGCCAGCGTCCTTCTGGTTCCGCACAGCTAGCTCAGTCCGATTTAGGTCCAGGTGCGGACTGACACCGATCAACCCTAGGACTCAAATCCCGAACTCCGCTATGACGATTCTCCTCTCTCCAGCAGCAACAACTCAACCAAAGCAGCGAACCAGCCCAATCCAAGACACATTTGTATGTGAGCGATCTAAGCGTTCGCTCGTTCGCGAGTGCGACCACTCGTCTGGCGCGCGCGTACAACGCGCCAGATTAACAAAATATAATAGAAAACCCGAAAGAGCTATGACGCTCGTGAGAGCAAAGAGCGAGACACCACGAAAGAACAGGAATGCGGGATGAATGGAGGAAGATACAGGGGAGGGGGTGAGCCCGGGGGGAAAGTTAGAGAAAAGGTAGCGACGACGACGCTCGACCCTCTGTTACTCCTTTGGCGACTGCCGCGACCCCACATACCGCATGTATGTTTACGGCATGGCATAGAGCCATATTGACAGAGTTTTCGGCATTGAGTTCGCTTGCTCCGTTCTGCCACGCGCCTAACGGAGTGACTGAATTGACTGTGCTTCGTACAGAACGCTACAATTCTACACAGGGGGAGTGAAGAGCTCGAATGGATAATACGACCAGCGCAAGCCACATGCTGGCCGGCACGAGCCTTCGCCGTCAGCAGCAACCTGGATAGGCTGGTCAGCCGGCCTGTTCAAGCTCGTCTTAAAAGCCGTCAGCAACAGCAGCAGCAAACGCGTGCTCGGGCAGGTGGTACCAAAAAAACATTTGCTCTGTCTGGACGACGCTAGCTATGCCGTTCATGGTGATAGTGACGGCACGGGCTACTTCGCCATCATGCATTTGATCTCTATTTTGTTCGAGACAGGAGAGCTTAGGCGTGAATTGAACCACACCGTCCGTCGTTGTCCTGAAGCTTAGTTGTGCTTGAAGAATCCTACGGGAAGCCTTATAGATCGCGACCCCTGTGCCGTTATTCGTGTTAGGCAGAGAAAACATTAACATGAATCGAGCAGTTGAAAATTTCGGCAGTAAGCAGTATCTCCGTCAAATTGGTGTTACTAGCGGGCACCTTTTTTCCTACGACAATCGGCCTGTAGTCGTTTACGTTCGATAAAGCAAATAAAATATTTATTTCTTGGTTCATTGAAACGAAATTAATAAGCACTTATCAAATCGTTCTTCTGAAATCATCAAAGAGAAAAGAAATACATAAGAAGCAAATCCGGTTAAATGCAACCCAGCGTTAGTCCTGATCATACAGACCGGTTACACTATAAACGCGTTTTCCGTTCACACAGTAGTAGCATACAGATAATACGATACACAGCGTTTGATTTTAATTCTCGTACACCGTTTCTAAATTTGAGCTTGCGTTAGGTGGCAGCTATCACTAAATGAAGTTCCACCCCGTAATATGAGGTTTGTTCATTTGGTTCATTTCAAAGCATCTGGTTATAACTCTTGCTATGCGTTCGCGGGGGACTGCAATTCAAAGACTTTCTCTATGCCAATATACTTCTGGCCTTAAGTATTGACGCCAGACGTACAGCTGCACAACGTGACTGAAATACCATGCGATATCACTCCTAAGGCAGTTCTTCCAGGCCCGCCCTTCTGTCATCATTTCAGCAACAATGATCAACAATAGGACAATGTAGAGCTTTGGCATTGTATATGATCGTGCAGAAGTACTATACTTTATTCCCTATTGCAGATACTTCTATCGTCGTACACGACCCCGTATTGGTCTCTTTGTCTATGCACACATTTGTCTGTTACTGTTATGTTCACTAAATCGATCGACGCATCGCATAGTAGTACATTTAGTGGATATAAGCTTGCTAAGGTTTATGCGATCAAAATGCGCGAACGTTGATCTGGGACGCAAAGGCCAATCTTTACTGGGCTTTGTTTTTGGGGGGGGGGGATTTCGGCTGTTCCACGAAATGGTATTGCAGACTTGGTGTTCTTTTTACTACGTCAGCTAGTGCCTTCTGACACTATCTTGGAGAGTGTTGCGATACGGCTCGATCGTAGACCAGGTTACAAAGTTACCGTCATCGCGATTTCAATAAATTCACTCGCTGTGGCCTGGCCTGGCCTGGCCTCGATATATTGAGTGCGGCCTTTCGGAATGCGCTCTTCGATCAACGCCAGCCGACTCAACTGATCGCGTTCTCTAGGCTATGTTCTCTGGTGGATGTGCGGCAGGGCCTGCACGCGGATCTTCGCTTTGATTTGCCTCCCTCTGCGTGCTGCATGAAGTTTATTTCGTTGATGCTGAAGCTATGTTAGGCGCTCTTTCGAATAGAGGTACAGTTTGTGGTTCCGCGAACTGCCCTCCATCGCTCCACGGACGCAGTCAGCACCATTAGAGTTGACCGGTCTTCACTTGCTCTTTATCTTAGGCTCGTCAGTGCGAGGTAGACGACTTCATTGCGGATTAATTTTCAGTGCGCTGACGCGTATGGCTGTTAGAAGCTACGCGGAACATAAACAACCCCCCAGAACTCTAGGTCACACGGCAGTAACAACAGCAGCAGTAACACCAGCGGCATCGATATGGCGGATTTCGCAGCGTGTGAATTGTACATTGGTCGTTATCGGCAGCAGCAGTGCATCGATGCACTTCGTGTTATCCTGTTACTTTCCTAGCCCTCATTCACCAATTGCAATAACAACAGTGGTCCCAAAAGCGGCACCAACATACGAATCCCCGACACGTCTTCCCAACTGCCCTTTGGCTCCATGAAAAAATGTCGATTAAGGTGACAACATTTGGAAGACGTTACGCTTGTTCGTAGCTAGGTAGAGTTCTTTTCACTTTAGAATACGCCATCCACCGCAAAAGATTATGCAATGATCAGACTGGCGCTCAGCTTTTATTACAATCTGTCCGTTTTCAGTAAATCGTTTGTAGCTTACGCGTATATCGATACGAATAGCTTGACGTATATTGTGCCCGAACGTAGAGTTCTGTAGAACGTCAGCGTTATTATATTTTCTATTGCGACGATGAAGTCGAGAGAAAATATAAGAATAAATGATTCGTGAATGTGGCACTTCGCTGAATGCTGCTCTCGTGCAAGTGTTTACTGTGCACGTATACATATAAGCTATATAGGCATGGCACAAGTTGGCCTGCTGCTCTGCCTTATTCTTAACGAGCTAAAAACGAGTACAAAAGAACGACGTCGCCTCTCTCGTCAACCGAAGTTTTTCAGAAACCTCAATCAAGACCACTTGCGTTACCTATTAGCTCCATGATGGATGTTCATTATTGATTGATGCCAATTTGCAGATTATCATAGCTGCGTACATATATATGAAGAGAACTCGGTGTTGTTGTTGTCGCAATTGCCACAGATCGGCAACTAGAAATCGCGAATTCGATCTGTCTAAATCGAGTTATATGTAGCACTGCGGGCTCTCGCAGTGTCTAAACGCCCATACGTGAACCCTAAACAAACCTAACTTAGGTGGGCGCTGGGGCGTTGGCAGCGATGCGACGCCAGTTCTGGGGCCTGCGTCGTGCCACACTGCACGATTCAGGTTCTACGTCGAATTGTGACAGCTCGGTGGTGCTCAACAGTAACGGCAGCGGCAGTAGCTCGGCCGCCCGCTCTATCAGCGTATCTCACGCTGATTCAGTCCTGATGCTGTTGCTCGCATGAACAGCGGCCATAGGCGGCTGGTGGTAGTAACGCTGGTTCGTATAACATGGCGCGTTCCCTATGTATGGCTAGCTAGTGTTGCTGCGGAGCGCTCCGGTGCCGTTGATAGAGCAAGCGACGACAGAAGCATCGCTGGCCACCGCCGTAGCTGCGACCACAATAAGCAAGCGCAGTAACAGCAGCGGTACCGGCAACAACGCCGCCGCCGCCGCCGCCGCCGCCGCCGCCGCCGCCGCCGCCAGCAGCATTCGGTCGGCCTAGCAGTAGCTCGGCTCCGTCATAGCGATCTCTGGTCCCTGCGGCTGTCCTGTCCTATCTGGCGGGGCTCTGGTGCATGGCGTTGTTGTGTATCGATGCTGCTGCTAGAGCTGTCGGTGGCTGGGTGTGTGTGTGTGTGTGTGTGTGTGTGTCTGAGTGTGAGTGAGTGAGTGTTGGCATGAAGCGGGTGTCTCTGCTGGGAGAGGGTCAGTTGACGGGAGAGGAGTAGAGCAGCTGCTATTCGAGCTGGTGCATTCTTCCATCGGGCCAGTCTATCTCGCCATCTCTCGAAAAGCTGACGTCGCTCCGATTGCCGAAGAGAACCTTGTAGCATGTCCAAGTCTGTGAACAACAACCGCAGCAGTTGCCTTGTGTGTGCCATTGCTCACTAATACGTCTACAATTATCTGCTTCGAATGTGCATTTGTGTTGTTCACCGCGTCTATGAGAACTCGAGCGATTACGACTGTTATTACAACAACAACGAACTTGTACGACAGTTCGACTTCATCCAGTTGGTTGTGTTAACCCCGAGGGAGGGCTGATCGCTCGATATTGTGTCGCCTGTGCGTGTGTATACAACAGTTTGTGTATTCGCAACAAGAAAAGTCGGAGAATAGAGCAACAACGAAAGGGAGGAAAAAATCGATAATTTTTGATATATTTTTAACAGCAGCGCGCTGTCGATATGCTTTAAATGCATAGACCGACAACATCGTACAAGTATCGACATTGTGCGTGAGTTCCAACAACTGTGGCAACTCTCTGCGGTGAATCGTCGACGATCCCTACCGCTAGTCTGTCCGCCGAGACGCAAGCGATGAGCCCTTGCGTCTCCTGTGGCCTGCCGTTCGATAGTTCCCCTTGTGACGGTGGTGAAGAGTCGTCTTCGTCGATGTGCGAATGTTGCCACCGATTGGGCCAGTGCAGTTGCAGTGATAGTTCTTCCCGTTGTTACGTTTCGTGTGAACGCCCTCGTGCTTCGATGGATACTCGCACGGATACCCGCAGTGCTCCAAACCTCACTAACGTTCCCTTTACATCGACGACACCATCTTCATCACTATCAACATTACCGCCATCAACAGCAACAACGTTATTAACCCCACCAGCGCCAGCATCCCGGGCAGGAACAACAAAAATGACAGTGATAAAAGAAACAACAAACTCGTTTGTGCCCAATTCAAGCCATTCACGAACCTCGAGGACTACGTCATGCGCGTGTCAAGGTAAGCTGACCAATCAATACACTAGAAAGATTTTGTCGAGTTTAGTAGGACAGTGGTCGGTGCCTGGCTAAGCGGAAAAGGTATTTTCAGAATGTCACACCTTCATCTGAGGTCTGTGACCAGTCTGTCCTGGCGTATCGAGCGTTTCGCAAGCTGCCGCATGATCGTCATCCAAATGAACAACTGAGGTTTCCGGAGCAGGTCCGCCGTAGTTGACCTTTCGAATTGTATTCTGTTCGAAACGCGACATGTAGATGCTGCTCGTTCGTATAGAAAAACAGTTTACCGACATTGCGATGGACGCTTTAACGAAACAGGTGTTGTATCTACCTAAAATACTTGTACTGTCTAGAAAAATCAAGCACGTCAACCTTCATACAGTTATATTGCAGGGGAAATTGGCGAAAGCAGAAGGCAGAGTTGAAGGGGGCACGTAAAAATCCTAGTTGTTTACTGCGCTGACACAGTATTGCTCTGTAAACGATGACGACGTATTTGTTTTGATATGATTCAATGAGGTGATGGCAAAGTTTGCTGTTACTGCTGGACAGACCTCATGGCTCTCCTCGGGTAGCCAATGCGACAGCAACTAGCAGTGCCAGCAAAAGCCAGCAATGGCAGCAGCTGTAGCTGCTTTCTGCAGTATTGGAGTGGCGCAACTCTCCCCGTCGTCGTTCGTTCATTTGTTGGTCCTGCCGGCCGCCGGGTCTCGTCTGCTGGTTATGGCTGCGTTATGCCGCTGGAGCTTTAGCTGCTGCCGTGCAGTTCGCTGTACTGCGCTCGGTGTAGCTTGTCCGCTGCTGTTACTGCTACCGGAGTCAGCCATCGTCATCGTTCGCCGTCGTTCCACACGACAGAGCAGCTTCGTCTTCGTCTGACTGCTGCTGCTGCTGCTGCTGCCGCCGCCACCGCCACCGCCGCTGCCGCTGCCGTTACCGCAGTCAGTCACTCCACAACTCGACTTCAACGACAACAACAACAACAACAACAGCAGCAGCAGCAGCAGCGCTACGACTAGCTTTAGCGGCGGCAGCACTTGTTCTGTCCTAACAGCAGCAAATCAGTAACAATAGCGTTCAGTGTTTGTCAGTTGTGCCTGCCTGCCTGCCTGCCTGCCTGCCTGCGTGTGCTGTGCTTTCGATCGTAGCAGCGACAGCAGCACTTCGGCAACGTAACAACAACGTTGCCTTCGCTACGCGCCGGCGGCGGTTTAGCAAATACCTCACTGAATTGAGAGTTGCTATGGGAGCCACAGCACAAGCGATCACTACCATTACGGCCACCGTCATCTTGGCCTGCGGCTTCGGCCAGAACTGCAGCAAATATACACTAAGCCAGTGTCACAGTGCGCCGCTCTTCAGCCGGACCAATTTAGTCGCTTTTGGTATTGCTGTTGACGTTATTCAGCCAACGCCAGGCAGGAATAGCTGTCAGAAGCGTTCAAGCAAACACATCGTTTCGTTGACATTAATGACGACAAAAGACAGCGCCTACACAACTACGACGGCCACGGCAAGGTTTTGTTACGTTGTTAGACATTGTTATCGTCTTGTCGTCTTCGTCGCTTTCGCTGTTCGATCGGAAAAATACCCTTCGTCTTCTTACAGTTCATTTAGTACCGTTGTTAATTCAGTTTCTACTCAGCACGGTCCCTTTATAAACTGAAGTCTACCACCCAATCAACTGCCAATACTCGTAGACGTTCCCCTATCGATGCCTATGTCGACGCCGCGATACGATGCCGTTTACGACTGGGCCCCGCCACGGCCCTTGCTTGCTTTAGTTTAGGTCGTCAGCATAGGCAGGGATACGTTAATACGACAAAATATCGCGAAAAAGAACCCTTTTTTGAAAATAGCTTTCGGGAAACGTCAGGCAGGCTACCTTTACTTGCATCGTCTACGTAGTAGTTCTCATTTGTCCAATTTTGACCAACTGTTGACATTAATTATTAGTTTTATTGGACCTTATCAGCAGTTTGTTATGTAATACATGTTTGCACCAGTGTGATCGCGCGAACATTTTGAACATATCTTCGACATCCTGCAGGTCGAAGGGATAGAAAATGCCAGCTAAAATGGCTTCACTAGATACGAATAGTCGATTATACGGCAGTAAGATACATCCCATAGTTGTGTCTACTACCTCGTATCCGCCGGCTGTGTTGCACAATAGCTAGCTGCTTCCAAAACAACTATATAAATATGTTACAAACCATCATTGTATCAATGTTTGTTTCTAGTCTAGACAGCTAAGTTTGAACCAATTGGCTATCATCGTATCGAATTGTTTTCTTTGAAAATAAGATCAGTCGCGAACGGCAAGACGCCATAAAGAAGTCCTAAAGTACAAGCTATGTTAAGATATAGTGTGCGTGCTCTTCTTTATATTTATCACTGTCTTTTTTTTCTAGTCCTGTTGCTTTCATCCCTAATTTAGCTGAATCGATCTGTCTGTCTGTCTTTCTGTCTATATGTATTTAGCTGACTTCTCTCATGTTCTCGCTTCCACCTCTGCTGGAATTAGTGGGTGAACCACCAGCGACTAACATGAGTGACTGAGAAGGTCAGCAGATTTTTATTGGCTCGCAGTTTGTTTATCCGACTGCTTGGCTGGCTGTCTGCTGATCTGACTGGCTGACTGGGGCATGAGCTACTTCTTCGTCAGCCCTTCTTGACCGACTCAGCAATAGTCCTTGCTTCCTCTCGCGGATTTTCGACCGTCGTTGGCCGTCAACGGGGTAAGCCGCGCTATGCGCGTATGTGGTAGGCGGCCACACGCTTTTAGCCCTAATAAGAAAATGGACAAACCACACGCTGTCGTCGTCATCGCCGCTGTCGCCATCGGCATCATTGACTGTCATACGCTCGTTGCTGAAGTAGATTATGTGACTAGCATTGTACAAATCCCGCTATGAATAGGGCTTCCCCGCTATCGGGTGCTATAGTGAATGATTGAACAACAGCATCAACGACGGAAACAGAGGTCATCATTCTCTTTTATTTACTGCTGCTGCTGCTGAATCTATTGCAATAGTACTACTGTCTTCTGTTTTTATCACCACCATCACTGTTAAGCGGTGACACCATCGCCGTAAGAGCAGTGACACCTATCAGAAATGCTCTGCAGGTATAGAAAGACCACTATAGGGGAAGAGATCCGCGTACTACATTGTTGCATTATTTAAATAGAGAACTTGTCTGTAGTGGTGAGGTTATCTATTTTAATTTGAGGCAATAACGGTTGATAAAGAACAAAGTACAATTTTATTTCATTCAGTTAATATAGTATATAGATATACAATCTCGTGACGGAAGATGCCATATTCAGCTATAATGCGCGACTTTCGATTGAGCGTTTTTCTATGTTACTGCTATTTTACTGCCACTCCTGGCTTTTTCCATGGCTCGAGTTTTACATCCAAAGCGGCCATTAGGTGGTAGCATCGCGACACGTCGATGTATCGCCCTTCAGCACCAGCGGTGTATTTTTCCACAGAATATAACCTACACTTGGTGCCTGTAGTCGTCTCATAGTTCGTTACCATAAAATGACCATAGAAACGTCACGTTCACTGCAACAACATCACTGATCACCAATATCGTCTTTTTGTCTATCGCCGTCCGAGCAGTCTCTTTGCGATTTCTCACTCCCCCCGTCGCAGCCGTCGTACCGCACTCCACCAGAATTATTGCAGCAGCCGGTGTCATAATTTCTACCGGTACGATCCTTATCGCTAATATGACTGCATTTGTACAGAGAAGTATTTGCATCTTCACAAACTCATTCCTGGGTTAGCGCGCGTCGTAGAATCCCGGCCTGGGCATGACGGAAAAACATTGCAGGGTCAGAAGGCGTGCCACTTTTTGCATCATACTGTTGGCAATTGTTATTATTATTACTACTAGTAAAGACGTGCTACCGATATGGTGGAAAAGCAGGGCGTTTCGTATATACCAACATGTGTACAGATACACAAATGCATGCGTATGTGTATTTATGAATAAAAATTAAACAGAAATTCTTGAGCGGCCATATTCATGTTAGTTGAGAGTGTTTCCACCCTCAACACAAAGGAAAAACGCATATCCTGCTGTTGTCTTCGTTAGCATCTATGACTGTTCTCTGTGCGTGTAGCGTGCGGTGTGCTTAGATCCAATCCCGATTTCACAGGTGGCCGTTGCTCGATGTACAGGTCTGTTCATCGGTGACTGCTGCCATTGCTGATACGTCGGCCGCTGACCCGCGTGGGAGTTCGGCTTGTCTCGTTTGGGAGAGCAACTCGTCTTCGCCGATACAACTACCAACTCCTCATTTAGTATGTAGCTCGAACGCGTTTGCATTCAAGCGTTGAGCAGCAGCAGCAGCAGCAGCGAAGGCGGCAATGTACCATCAACTACGGTGCTCTTATCGTTTTGTTTTTGTCGCGCCTTTCTCCTTTTTTCGTTTGGCCTTTTCTGCCTCTATTCACGTTACGGACGACAACTACGTCAATGGCGTCGGTGCAATTTAGCTACAGGGTGTAGCATCGCGTGCTAGAGCACATCGTCATCATCACCATCAGTAACAGAACGCTACATCACCGCATTAAGGACGAAGGATAGTAGCACGCATAACGAGCCATGGCAGCACAAGGCACAGTCAGGAGAAGCTAGAGGCGCAGCCGGAGCAGCTGCAAAGTGGAGCTGAAAAAAAATTGGCACACGACCCATTTTTCAAGGTCGTCGAGACGAGGCAGGTCACAGCAGCGCCTAGATCTCGCAGTCAGTTTGTCTGTCTGGTTGGCTTGTTACGCGTTGAGTTGCTGCTGCTGTTGCAGCTAGACAAAAACACGCACCAGTCAAGACCAGCAGAATTGGGAAATCCGCAGACCTAGTAACCCCTCTTTTCAACTTCAACCCAAACTCAGAATCCCTTCCCCTCCTGTCCGCAGATGACGAGTACATGCTTCCGATTTTCTTCTCATGCTTTTTTCTCGTGCCCATTTGCTGTTCGTCGCA